AGCATGTTTTCAAAGTTATCTATGTTGTAGCATGCTTCAGAATTCATTCCTTTTTTATGGCTGAATAATATTCCATTGCATGGATATGCCACATCTTGTTTATCCATTCTTCAGTCGATGGACATTTGGGTTGTTTCCACTTTTTGCCTATGCTAATTAATGCAACTGTGAATATTTATAGAGAAGTTTATCTGTGAACATATAATCTCTGGGGTTTGTACCTACGAGTGGAATTGCAATGGTAACTCTATGTTTAACCTTTTGAGGAGCTACCAAATTGTTTTCCAAAAAGGCTACATCATTTTCAGTTCCACCAACAATATGTGAGGATTCTAATTTCTCTACATCCTCATCAACACTTGTTATTTTCCATCCTTTTGATTATAGTCATTCTAGTAGGTGTGAATTAGTATCTCGTTGTAGTTTTGATTTGTATTTTTCTAATGACTAATGATGTCTTTTCATGTGCTTATTGACCATTTGTATACATTCTTTCTAGAAATGTCTATTCAAATTCATTGTCCATTTTAAACTTATGATATTTATCTTTTTATTGTTGAGTTGTAAGTGTGCTTTATATATTTGGGATACTAGATCCTTACCAGATGTATGATTTGCAAATGTTTTCTCCTATTATGTGATTAATCTTTCACTTTCTTGATAATTTTTTATTTGGTTGCTTGTGTTTTGGTATCATATCTAAGAAACTGTTTCTAATCCAATGTCATGAAAATTTACCTCTGTTTTTTTATTTGAGCTGTATAGTTTTAGCTCTTACATTTAGGTCTTTGATCCAGTGGAGTTAATTTTTGCATATGATGTGATGTAAAGGTCTAACTTCTGTTTTTGCATGTGGATATCCAGTTATCTCAGCACTATTTATTGAAAGGGCTACTCTTTCCCATTGAATTGTCTTGGCACCTTTGTCAAAAATCAGTTGACCATAGACACATGGGCATATTTTTGCATTCTCAATTCTATTCCATTGATTTATTTGTCTGTCTTTTTGCCAGTACCACACAGACTTGATTATTGTAGCTTTGTGGTAAGTTTTGAAATTGAGAAATGTGAGTCCTCCAACATTATTCTTTTATGTATCCTGTTTTTAGTTGTCAAGTCTAAGAACTCTTTGTCTAGTCCTAGGCCCTGAAGCTTTTCTCTGTTGTTTTTTTTTTTTTTTCTCTCTAAAAGTCTTATACTTTTTTTGTTTTACATTCGTTTCCAGAGTTTTTAATTTTTTTTTTTTTTTTTTTTCTCTTCTGGAATTAGAATTCTTGGTTGCCAGTTTTGTTTTGTTTTTTTTTTTTGTTTTTTCCTTTTAGCATTTTCATGATGTTGATTTGTCTTCTGGCTTGCATCGTTTCTGGAGAGAGACGTCTGCTCTCATTCTTATATTTGTTCCTCTGTATATAACGTGTCTTTTCTTCTTGGGCTACTTTGAAGAATTTCTGTTTTTTTACAATGGTTTTCAGGATTTGATTTTGATGTACCTTATGGTTTTCTTTTTCCTTTTCCTTGGTATTCATTGAGCCTCTTGGGTTTGTGTTTTTGAAGTTTTCATCAAATATGGAAATTTTTTGACAATATGTCTTCAGATATTTCTGTACCTCTATCTCTGGCCCCCACCTCTGGGACTGTTACATGTTTGTTAGACTGTTTAATAATGTCCCATAATCACTGACACTCTGTTCAATTCTTTTCAGTCATTTTTTCTTCTCTGTGCTTCACTTTGGACAAATTGTTTTCTCTGTCTCAGGGTCAGTAATATTTTCTGCTTCAGTGTCTAATGTGCTGTTAATCCCACCCAGTGAAGTTTTCACTTTATTGTTTTTTTGATCTCTAGAAGTTCCATTTGGTTCTTCTTTATACCTAAACATTTCTCTCACGATGTTCAGATTTTCATTTAAATACCTGAATATAGTCTTATAGATGTTTTAGTCCTTGTTTGCTCATTCCATCTCTCTGTGATACTGGGTCTGTTTGTATTGACTGGTTTTTATCCTGGTTAATGGTCACGATTTCTTGATTCTTGGTATATCTAACACTTTTGATTAGACACTGGACCTTACAAATTTTACATTGTTGAATGCCTAGACTTTGTTGTCTTCTTTTTTGTTATGCTTTGTTCTGGCATACGGTTATTTGCAGTTTAGTTTGATACTTTCAAGGCTTGTCTTTATGCCTTGTTAGGACAGGTCTCAAGTAACCTCTACTCTAGGGGTAATTTAGCCCTATTACCAAGGCACAGCCTTTCTAGGATCTCATTTGAATGCTTCAGGTGATCAACAAGGACTTGGTACCCTTGCTGCTCAGAACTTGAATGCCTTCTAGCCCTGTATGAGCTCTGGGGACCATTCAGCTGATAGGTTTTCAGTTATTTTTTTCCTAGGGTCATTTTAGAATTCACCTAAGAGTCAGAGAATCCCTTACTCTTAAATATTTGAAGTTTTTTTTTTTCTTTTTTTTTTCAGCACTCTCTCCTCCAAAACTCTACCCTACAACTTTCAGCTGCCTCAGGTTCCCTGAACTCTGAGATGTGTCTCCATAACTCAGTGAGACTTCCATACTCTGTTTGGGATCCTGTTCCTGTACCACTGTCCACAATTTGCCTCTAGGCAGAAAGCTAGGGACATGGTGTGTCTCACCTCACTTGTTTCTCTTTCAGGGAACATAGTCCAAGTTTCCTGTTGTCAATATCTGAAAATAATTGTTTCATATATTATATCCGGTTTTCTTGTTGCTTATAGCAGTTGGGTAAATCTGGTCCCTGTTATTCTATCATGTCTGGAAGTAAAAGTCCTATTCCTTTAATTTTTAAAAAATATTCAATAACCTTTTTATTTTAGAACAATTTATATTCACAGAAAAGTTGTAAAGATAGTACACAGTTCCAGTATACCTCTCACGCAGTTTCTCCCGTTGTTAACATCTTAAACTGGCATTGGCATATCACTATTAAGTAAATGTCTATATTTAATTTTATTAAAAAACTACCAAACTTTCCAAAGTGGCTGTACTGTCTTACATTCCCACCAGCAATGAATGAGAGTTCTTATATTATTTGAGTAGAACATGATGAAAACTAGTTACTTTGAAACACCAACATTTCAACTGTTCTGAAATTACAAAAAGTAAGTAAAGAGAAGTGACTTAAAATTGCTAAGGCTTTGATTACAAACAACTCATGATAACACTAATAATTATAACAACAGTGACAGTAGCATTCATCGAACTCCGACTGTTCTAAGAGATTTACGTTTATTGATTCATTTAATCCTGACAACATCCCTTTGTTGGTGGTGCTGTTATCCTCTGCTTTTGTAGCTTAAGAAAGTGAGAATTTTAGTAATGTTCCCCTGGTCTATTAAGATGTAGGCAGTCTGGCTCCAGAGCCTGCTCTCTGATCCACTCCTCCAGCGATGATTCTTCATTGGTTGCAGAATAGCTTGAGGAATAGAGATGGTGTTTCACATGATACCGGATGGTCTTGGGCACCTACATTTTGAAGACCACTGGTGATTCTAGTGGATAGTCAGAATTGGGAACATTCTGTACTACTGTATACTGCATCTTCATTATAATGTAGATAAATTTAATGTGTTAAAACATACTTTTAATTTTCAATCATAATAGTGAGTAATGTAGTTCATGTTTTGATTTGGTCATTTTAAGGTCCTTTTTTGTAGGTAGAACTTGAGTTGAGGCAAATATTTTGCAGATAACTGAAAAATCAGTTACCTCTTTATTTTGATGTCTAGGCACTCTGGCTTTTGTGTAACAAATGCAAATGCATGTGCATGTATGTGTTTGTGTGTGCACACTTATTTATGTGTAGTCTTTTGGCACAAAGAATAATTAGGTATTCCTTCCTAAAGTTAATGTTTAAAGAATATTGATTTTAAGCCATGAAATCATTTCATATGTACAAAGCAAGGAATAAAATATATTATAGAATGGTGTAATTGTTTAAATTCTCTTAGACCCAGCAGGTTAATACCTACACAAAATTGATTTACTGCAGCATAGAATAATCTTAAGTTTATTAATTTTGTAGCTTTCTTATTCAGTGTCATTGACATTTTAAGATTTGATATTAGGCTTAAAAATGTAGAAGAAAATCTCAAAATTCTATTCAAAAAATACTTTATGAAGATTGATTTATGGGGTATAATAAATGAAATGATAGGTTTGAAAATAATTTATCAAAATCTAGTTCTCTTGTTCAAAATCAATGATATAAATTAATTCTTTTAAATTATTACTATGTGATCTCCAGTGGTCACCATTGTTTTGTTCTGAATAGTTGGCTGCTGCTGATTGCATAAAGTCTCCACTAGAGTGTGCTAAAGACACTTCTTTGGGAAAAGTGTTACTTAGGCTTGCCTGGACTTAGTCAGTGGATACGGTGTTTTTTTTAAGGAAAGAATTTGATTTCTTGTTTATGAAATTCCCTTTGCTGTGAAATAAATTCTGTACCTTGACAGTTGAGTATTTCTACAGGTACTGTAAATGATGAGTATTCAATCTTTCCATTCTTCGTTCTCTGTAAGCATACTGGCTGGAAATATTGTTGATTTGATAATTTTGTGAAGTTATCTTTTAGATAACTTCCTTTACACAATAAAGTGTTGATTTTTCTTTACACAATAGGTGTTTTTCTGAAAACCTGAAAATACAAATGAGCTAGAGAAACTAATAATTTGTTTTATGAGGTTGGAAAAAAACCTCATAATTTATCTATTGTGTATGCTTTTATTTTAAAATAGCAACTAAATCAGTAAATAGTTTCAATATTTGCAATTCCAGCATAAAATATTATTCTCCAAGTATTATTAGTTATCTGTGATGACCATATATTTTGTGTGGATGTACTTAGAGTAGGGTGTAAAAGAAGGTTTTGGTCCCTTTATATTTGATAAATTTCTAAGTGAGCGTTTTACAGAATGATTATGTAGCAAAAGTACTGAATGATAATAGCTGGTTTTTTTCTTTTCTCCCAGGTACCTTCACTCAAATAACATAGTTGTGGTTCCGGAAGGTAAGTGCACTTCCAGTTTTTAGTTAGGAGATACTATACTTTAAGCTTTACTTTATAATAGTAGAACAAATTGTCTCTTTAAACCTATTTTGGTTGGTGTATTAGTGAATTTTAATTATAAAGTATCTTTTATTTATTAGTTTCAAAGCTTTTTTTCGTCTTAGTAAGTCCACTTAAAAATTATGATTAAATAAATAATAATTCTAAAATAATTATAGTGGTTAGGTAAATTATTATTAGATAAATTGTTGTTAGGTAATAATAAAATGATGAATTCTAAATTTAATAAATCCAGTTAAGAATTTTGGTAGATAAAAAAGATCTTATATATCATTCCATGAGTTATTCAAGCAATTTTTTACATTGTTTTAACGTTTTTATTTGTGCTATTTTTAAAGTTATGTATTTTATATCGAGGTAGAAGTCTTATCGCTTCCATATAATTTAGTTTGATCTAAGTTTTTACTATTTTGTGATCAAATGAGATGGGGATATTAAGTATTAAAATATTTTAACTTGGAGTATTTACATTAAACATTGACATAACACTTGGGCCAAATTCATTTTGCCTTTACCCTTCTTTTCTCTTTGAAGCCATTGGGTCCCTTGTAAAACTCCAGTGTTTGGATCTTAGTGACAATGCCTTAGAAATTGTTTGCCCAGAAATTGGTCGTCTGAGAGCTTTACGTCATCTTCGATTAGCTAATAACCAACTGCAATTCCTACCTCCAGGTAATCATAGTCTGTAGCACATAATAGTTTCTTGCCTATTACAAATCTGTTTTTATTCATATTTCTCTCTGTGTGTCTAGGCATTGGGCTTTGGATATATTTGTAAGTATTTGATGTCCATTTGTTTGAACATGAAACTAAGGAATGTGGGTGAAATGTGGCTAAGAGTCTTTTCCTTGATGCAAACATAAGAAGGTGGCATTTATGTTTTTGAATTACAGTTACAATTGTGCATGGCAATCAGTGCCCCTTCAAATCACTGCCCCTTCAAATCACTGCCCTGGTGAAATATTTCTACAAAAAACTACTTCAGTTCTGAATTTCACGTAAGAAAATTTAGATGAACTTTGCATAATGTAATCATTTTAGAATCCAAAAGGCAGCTATGCAGTGTTTTCTCTCATTATCTGGTGAGGTAATTGATGTATGTTAACTTTGATTTAATAAGAAATAATACTAGAATTTAGTAGCAGAATTTAAGTTTGAATCCTAGAATTGTCATTTCTGCCTACTGAACATCCTCTTAGATTATGATTTACCTATATTCAGTACCAAAATCCTGCATTCTCCTGAGCTACCATTAAACTCTTTGACTTTCTCACGAGGGGCATCCAGAGACCTTCCTTTGTGAATCCACACATTTGCAAATTCCACTGTCATGTGTCATTTCCCATATAAAGAAAAAGGTGAAGTCTGGTTAAAAAAATAAAAAACTTGTGCTTCAGGTATTACATGAAAGTTACTCTGTGTGCAAGAATGAGCAGAGAAAAATACAGTTATCATATTGGCTGGGATTATTTTTAGTAACCCTGTCAGGAACACCAACCAGTCTGTTAGTGTATCCAAGTGAAATGTGTGACTCAACCAAAATTACAAATTACTACCTGTCGTGGAACTTCAGGGTCACATGAGAATGTTAAAACTATTCATGTTAAATCCATGAATGAAAAGGTCTCTGTAATTTAAAAAATACTTTCTCCAAAGTTTTTCAAGTACAGAAATTTCTAAATGAAAACATAGTGACTGATTAATTTTTAGACTTTATGTGCTGGCCTTAATAAGTAGGTTCAATATTGTTTATTAAGATGGTACTAGTATAGCAGTGACTCTGCTTAAAAAATAATTTTTTAACCTAATATAATGAGTCTCTTATTTTTTCCAACTATAGTTAATACAAAAATTTTCAATATGGTATATGAATATGATCTTTCCTTTAGAGTTTATTGTGTGTAATTAGGTTCAGTGGTGTTTCATCATCCTAGTGTTCATCAAGTTTATATATTCAGATACTCAGGAAATTACATTCTCTTTTGGAGATTGCCTAGAAAATGTGTCACTAAAGGTAATACTTTAAGTTTTCATAATATTTTCATATATGAAACTTATACAAGATATATTGTAGAATCAAAATACGTGGATATAATATTGTATTTGTAAGCCCCTTTTTATATACGTTTAAAGAACATATAAGAAATACAATTCTCTGTTAAACCATTGTTCTTTGTATTCTATTATTCTATCTTTTCCTGTGATATAAGAACATTTTGTGGTAGGTTGTGGCCATTTCCTTGTTTTATATACTCTCAGATGTTAAGAATGTACTTCTAATATCATTGACCGCTTCCTAACAACCAGTGAAGGATATAGGTTTTTTCGTGACTACTTTCATATAATTTTTTATTTATATCTCACCTGTTGCATAATAGATTTGAGGCATTTACTTCTGATTTAATTTCTCTATCTTATTTCTATTGTCTGTGTTTTGTTTTGATTGTTTTGAGTAAAATTGTATATGGTAATAGCTATATATTTTGAATAGAAACTTTTGATTGAGCCATATAGAGATTTTTTTCTTGCTAGGCCATCATGAATAGCAGGGACTAGATCTTACTAATTATTTGATCTACTTTATTTATCTTTTTATCAGGTAATTTCAAATGTTACAATTTTAATGGATGAGTGGCTAGGTACACATCCCCCAAATATTTGATCATGTTTGGGGATATAGGATGGAAAAGTATTCTAACTGTAGTAAAAAAAGTTGTGAGGGACTGCCATATTGTTTCCATGTGATGGCCATAGACACTAGTTGATATCTGAATGATAACCCTTCCTACCTAGCCTCTGCTATTATATGTAGACTTCTTACATGTTATAGTCCCTCAAAAGACTTAACATTTTGCTGTATATATTTGTTGTGATTGAAAAACATTTAAGGGTAAGTTCATATTCAATATTTAAAGTTTGAAAAATTTTATATCAATATTTGAAAAATTTGAAACATTTGAAAAATCTAGATGGATATAGAGAGTTTTTAAATTAGAACCTAAGGATGGATTACAGGGTTTTCATGAACACTCTCAAATTTTATGCACAGTTTGATGTTTGTGCGTACATACATATTGCTGTGAAGAAGGTCCAATGTTTGCATCAGTTTCTCAAGCAGATCCATGTCTCATATGGTGGATTCTATTGGGCTGTTTGCCAGTATCCATTTTCTGGGAATATCCCTTTCTCTTATTCTATTGGATTACAGAGTACTGCCATTCTTCTACCATGTGACCTTGCTTTCTCTCCATGATTGATGGGTCCTGGTGTAGGTTCCTGACCCAAGAAGGACCAGTTCTTTTCCTGGAAATTTTGGAAGAGGCTGGTGGGGGAGAAGGAAAGAGAGTAGGAGAGGCAGAAAAAGAATGTCAGTCTCTTTCTCTCTGGGCTACTGTACAATACTGTGTAATCTTGTGAGGTGCTGGTAGTAGCCATGTGGACTGGGAAACAGAAAGAGAGAGAAGGATGAAGCAGACACACAGAGAGAAGATGAAGGCAGAGACTTTCCAAGTTTTCCTTAATATCACAATCACTGGTTCTGTGCTTAAGGCCCACAGGCTTTGTGCTTCACCTAGCCCTAGTTGGCTTCTATGAATTGTAGCCAAAAGAGCTCCATGTAGCATAGCTGCCCCAAAGGCTTAAAACAACCTTACTAGGGTGTAGGATTAACTGTATCTTGAACTCTCCTATTTACTTAACTGTTATGCTTTAAAATTGCAAAAGCTCTTTTTTTTTTCACTAAGGAAGATTCGCCCTGTGCTAACATCCACTGCCAATCTTCTTTTTGTATGTGAACTGCCACCACAGCATGGCCACTGACAAACGAGTGGTGTAGGTCTGCGCCTGGGAAGCAAACCCAGGCCTCTGAAGTGGGGTGCACTGAAATTAACCACTAGGCTACTGGGGCTGATCCCAAAAGCTCTTATTAACAGTAGAAAGTCCAGGGTTAGCAGTAGCATGATCTATGAAGTGGTTCATTCTGTCACTTGGTTTTTTCCTTTTTACAGTACACTTTGCATCCTTTCTATTAGATGCCCTTTCGTTTTTCTCCCTGAGTGCAAGTAGGTTTTCGGGAGGTACAGAGAACATTGGTGTGGAGTGGTGATAGGATATAGGAATGTGGAGACAGCCTATAAAGCATATGTTATTAAGTCTAGTACACTAGGGGAGGTAAAATTTCTCCTCTGGCCTCTTAAGTCTCCAGCTAGGCCTCAGACTTAAACTGACAAAAGACAGATTAACAGAAGGAAAGTGTAAAAATTTTACTTATTTTTTTTTGTTGACATCATATTGGCTTATAACATAGTGTAAATTTCAGGTGTACATTATCTTATTTCACTTTCTATGTAGACTGCATTATGTTCACCACTGACAGTCTGGTTTTCATCCATCACTGTACATATGTGCCCGTTTACCCTTTTTGCCCTCCTCCCACCCGCTTCCCCTCTGGTAACCACTAATCTGTTCTCCTTATCCATGTGTACGTTTATCTTCCACATATGAATGAAATTATACGGTGTTTGTCTTTCTCTGTCTGGCTTATTTTGCTTAGCATAATACCCTTAAGGTCCATCCATGTTGTCGCAAATGGCACAATTTTATCTTTGTTTATGGCTGAGTAGTAGTCCATTGTATATATATACACCACCTCTTCTTTATCCGTTCATCTGTTGACGGGCACCTGGGTTCCTTCCACGTCTTGGCTGTTGTGAATAATTGCTGTGATGAACATACAGATGTATAAATCTCTTTGAATTGTTGATTTCTTGTTCTTTGGATAAGTACTCAGTAGTGGGACAGCTAGATTGTACAGTATTTCTATTTTTAATTTTTTGAGGAATCTCCATACTGTTTTGCATAGTAGCTGCACCAGTTTGCACTTCCACCAGCAGTGTATGAGGCTTCCCTTTTCTCCACATCTTCTCCAACACTTGTTATTTCTTGTCTTTTTAATAGCCATTCTGATGGGTGTGAGGTGATGTCTCATTATAGTTTTGATTTACATTTCCCGAATAATTAGTAATATTGAACGTCTTTTCATGTGCCTGTTGGCCATCTGTATATCTTCTTTGGAAAAATGTCTGTTCATATCCTCTGCCCATTTTTTGATCTGAATGTTCATTTTTTTGTTGTTGAGTTGTATGAGTTCTTTATATATTTTGGAAATTAATCCCTCATCAGATATATGATTTGCAAATACTTTCTCCAGGTTGGTAGGTTGTTTTCTTAGTAATTTTTACATGTACATGGGAGGCTTCACAAGGAAACTGAAGACCCAAAGAGTTAGAGACGAATGCTTATATACTAGGTTGGACAAAGAGTAGTAAACTGTGAAAACATGACAAGACAAAAGGGTTTGGGTTAGGGCAGTTAATTGTGGGAAAGTGACCAAGGAGATAAAGGTTAGTTTAACAAGGGTTTGTTTGTACAGATTTCCCTCAGCCTCGACTCCCTATCTCTGGTGCTAAGAATATCTCCCTCCTGGTACAAGGAGGGTACCTTTCATGTGGAGGTTTTATCTCCTGCTTTCAGGAAGTAAAAGGAAGGTCAGAGTGCCCTGCTTGCATCTCCCATTTTTCAGTGCCTTTAACTCAAAATAATCAATATGCCAGGGGGACATATTTTGGGGTGACATGCTCTGAACTACACCAGCCACCACAATGGCAACTAGA